ATAATGAGCAAACAACTTCTGCTTGTTCCCTGTTCGTTGACCTGTTCACGTATGGTTTTCTAGGTGTCATTGAATTCCCTCAGATTGCGCAAGCTCGCACGACAACTGCAACTTGTCTGCTTTTGTACTCTTCGACGCCAGGACCAGACAGAGGGCGCGACGTACGATGGTCCTGGCGTTTTCAGCAGGCTCCACGTCAAGTAAGGATCAAGCATATTTGTAAGGTAGACCGATGAGCTGGGTGCAACAACTATCGCCGCTCTGCCTAAAGCACCACACATTTCTTGACGGTCTGTTATTCCTACGAGCAGGTTTAGACTATGCATCGACGGGAACTCACACGAGCATATCGGAATCGCTTGTCCTTGACAAAGACATTATCTAACACTTTTCTACCGCTATTGCTAACATGGGGTGTTCCATTGCACAATCCCACCTTCTGTATGATTGCAGGAGGCACGACAACGACGCGGAGAGGATCTCTGAGATCTCCGTCGCGCCTACCGCCGAGGAGATCCTTTGCGAGAGGCCTCCCTACGTGCCCCGCAATGCGCCCTCCACGTGGGACAGGATGAATCACCTAAAGGTCCGTTAGATAACTTATTGGTTTCGGAGTAGGAACTGCTGCGCCTTATCACCTCTGCCGACTTTCAAGTCAAAGCCGAGAAACCCGTGGGGTAAACAATTTCTTGTACGAACGCCCACCTTGCCCATGTACGCCCCTCCCCGCAACCCGTTCGTTCGTGTACAGCCTCTCGCGCCAGACTCTCCAGCCCCGTTGCTGGACACGCACTTTCGCCTCCTCCGGCAGGACTTCGTCGAGCCATTGCGCGACGCAGTGCTGGGCTACCGCAGGGAGCAGCTCAAGGAGAATCTCTAGAATGGGTTGTCGGTGGCCCTGGTAGAGGCGCCGATGCCTGTCCTCAATGAATTCGAGAAGTTGCACGATCTATCAGCACGTGTGCCTTCGCTAGGAAATGCTTGGGGGCCGAGCGGTGCACAATTTCGCCGGTGCAAAGTACCAACGAGACTTGGAGTGCATGTGCCGAAACCGCACATATAGCATATCGCAATGGCGCGATGGTAGTCATACCTCAAGGTCGAATGCCGTAATGAATGATCTCGTTTCAGAACGGCGACGACGGCGGGGTCGGCGGCGGCCGCAGAGGCGTGTTCAAGGCCCAGACGGAAGGCGGGAGGTCCTTCCTGAACCTGTTCGTCTTCAAGAACGTTCGGGTCGTCGGCATCTCAGGTGTCAGAGAGCGAATGCGGCAAGCAGTCGGATATTGCAGCCGTGCTGCAAACGTACCTCGCAGCCGTGTGAATGGCATCGAACAACAAGCAGAAATAGGTTGGACACAGTATTTCACGGTATTTACCCGATTGATAGGGCCGATGGTTTTGCCGTGCACGCCTGTTTCAATTCCCCTTCGCGGGGTGCTCTGGTGGCGGGTGCGCTGGGTAGAGGCCCCTTTCCGGCGGCGCGAAACCCTGAGGTACCGACGTCGCGAGAGAATGACCTTTACTCGCAAGGGACTCAGAATCCTGGATGTGGTTGACGCCGAATTAGTGCTGTCACTGGTTTACCTATTGTGGACCAGAAGCGTTGGATACGACACGCACCAGTGGACTTTCGCTTGATCTCGCCGCGGCAGGGACAACATACGGAGGAGTGAAAGTGTCTCTGGAGTTTGACAAGCCGGATGCGGTGATGAACATGTCGCAGAACAAGCAGAGGGACCACTGGGAGAGGTCTGGCCGACTCGCCGTCGGTGAGACAAAGATATACCCTGCTCTCAGTCTTGCTTTTTCCGGGGGGGTGAGGGGATCGACGCCCGATATCAGATAGCTGGGCGAGGAACAGGTGGCTGGACGATATCCTCCCGGTTCCCTTCGCGTGGTGAACGTTGATCGAGAGGCACCAAACACGCATAGAACAAAAGCAATAACTAGACTTGCAAAGGGACAATTTTGTGGCTTCTTTGTTAAAGCGGCGTGGTATGGCTGTTCGTTCTGTTATCCGTGGCGATTTTTCGGCCAGCCTCACACCATCAAGTTGTTGCGCATTTTCCCCTCTCGCTTGATTCTCGTTCTCATCGCCCCTGTCCCGCCCCCACTTTTCACCCGCCCCACGCGTCAAACGCTTCAATGACGGCGCCCTTGCCAAATCCAGCCAACATGGTGGTCATCTGCGAGGCCCACGTTACGGCTGCCGGCGACACTGCAAATGAGGGTAATTCCTCCCCTCCCCTGCTTGTTTTCGCCGTCATCTCGGTGAGTCAGGCCTTCTCGGGGCATTTAGGCACTCTCGAGCAATTTCGCCGCACTCAGTGCCGCCGGGCAAAGTAGAGCATCAATCCCGATCGACGGGTGCAACCTAGTTGGTGAATCTATAAACCGCATCAACTCAGTGATGAAAGACACTCGGTTGTTGTCGAAATTTTCGATACTCGCCCGAGGCTGTCGTACGTCATGGCCCTGCACCCCCGTCGACCAGTCGCTTGTTCACGGTCTGCGTGCGACCCGCCCACACACAGCTATTCGCTACCCAGTCCTCCCTACCCCCACCCGAACGCCTTCCCCCCCGGTGTTTGCTTTGCCGTCGGGGTTGGGTTTTCGTCCCTTGGCAACGACGTTGTCGAACAAGCCAATCAGTTCGTGAGCTCGACAGCCAGGTTACCGTTGTTTTTTTTTGCGGAAACCTTGATAGTGGTCGAGTAGATACATGTTGTGCGGGGTCGAGGACCCTCACTCACCGCAAAGGAGATGATTACACCACGT